TCTGTATATAATGTATGGAAGGGAGAAAAGCTACAGATACAATTAAAAAATAATACACAGGGCACTTGCTTAACACATCAAGGGAAACTGAAGAAACGTTATAAAGATAAGGAGCACTGACCTAGAAAGTGATTACAAATAGTCATTGCTGGCATGAGGAGTCTTAAAACTATACAATACAAAACATTGTATTAGTGTCCATGTTAGGAATGTGTTGGGTCTATTTGATGTCATACACAGTTCAAAACCAGGTTGCTCAAAGTAAAGTTCCTGTATTAAACTATTTTAACTTTTGTAACAATAGTTCATGAAGAATGGAAAGTTTGTATGGGTAAAACTAGTTATTATCTTGTAAAAATTGAATGTCTGGATGCAAAAGTTTTTAATATACCAAGTTATCAATAGAAAAAACTGTATCAAAAATATATGAAAAGAGAATATATTTCTGTTCATAGACAATCAAATGATTGAAAACAAGTCTCATAAAAACTTATGAATATGAGAATAGATTTTAGCAAAAAATTGAGCATGGAATGAGGATTCTTACCTGAGATAGCGCACTGCCAGTCCAAAATCTGCAATTGCGCACTGTCCATTTCGTTTCACAAGAATGTTTTTGCTCTTTATGTCTCGATGAGCTATGGCTGGTTTGCCACGGGTGCCAAATATTTCAGTGTGGAGATGAGCCACTCCTGAGGCTGCGGATAAGGCAAGTGTCAGAAGAGAGGATGAATCCAAAACATGAGTCTGAAGGTAATCATGCAATGAGCCATTGTCATGATAATCTGTGATCAACAGCATCTGGGTCCATGAACCAGTGCCTTTAATATCAGCAGCAATGAAACCTGTAAAACAACAAACCAATATCACATAGGCTCTTCCAAAATCAAGAAGGAAACCTTAGCATCATGCAAGAAACCAAGTATACACTGTACAAGCCAAGAGTACATTCTTAATGATGAAGTTAGTTGTTGTTAGAGCATTCATATAATACTAAAAGTGATCACACAGTTAAGGCTAATTGAATTTTATAAACATTTATAGACTTTTCAGTCATAGTTAGACATGTGAATGAACAACCATATTTATGACTCACCCAGAATGTTTTCATGTCGCATGAGAACAGTCTGGTAGATTTCAGTCTCTCGAAACCAGCTAGCTTCCTCAGTAGTGTAGAACACCTTAACAGCAACACGTTCCCCTCGCCACATTGCCAGCCAGACTTCACCATAGCGACCTTTGCCTATAGAGTGCACCATTTGGATTTGCTTGGCAATTGTCCTTTGCACCTAAGAAAAGCAACAAGCACCATGCAGACAAATTACAATCCTATAAATATTGTGAAGAAAGAAAAAATAAAAATAAAAACAACTGTGATGAAGACGAAAATGACAAAAAAAATACCACAAAGATGCATACGCCCATAAAAAATTAAAGAAAAAATTAAGAAATGCTCATGAAATTGACAGGAATAAAGACCCCAAACAACAACAAATATTACTGAATAGTTTGCTTATTTTTTGTTTGCTAATATATAAGATTGTGTTAATTTGTTTACATCAATGGGAAGTCAATGTATCCTCATTATTCATTAAACATGCGAAGCTCAGTGACTTGCAGTACCCCAACACTCAATGAATTCAGCATAAAGAAAAATCATTGATAGGCCTTGGATATCAGCTCATCTTTGAATTTCAGAGCCCTATAGTGGGCACATCATAAACAGATACCAACAATTTGATTATTTCATGTTATTGTGTAAGTTTGGACCTGAACATTCAAACCAACAGAAGTACCTACTCTTTAGCGAGAAAATTTAAGTGAACAAGTAATAGATAATTAAGAACATGTGCAACTTCAAGCACTTCATTGATGCACAAGAAAAAGTGCCACATATAAAAAATAAAAAAACTTGTATCTACGTAATTAAGAACCATTGTCACCAGAACATAGCTGTTTCTTTCAAAGTGAATGACAAGATTTTTCACACTATTACTGACAAGTGGTCTATTATCATGAAGTTTTTGCTACTATAAAACCATTTTCTCAATGTGTTTCTTCACTTATCCCTTCAATGTAGAGCAACATGCTCTGCACCTGGATGGTTTCCATCTACAAATGTGTAACTGTGTGCCTGGTACACTCTCTTTGCTCTGTTTTTGGTTAGACACATTATGAAATACTTTAAATCTACTTTCACATCTTTCTAGACAATGAATAATGTAAATGTTAGTACACAGAATACATTACAATGATCAATTTTATATGTCATCCCATCAATGTACAAATCAAAACATTGTATTCAGCTTTAACATAACACCCTGTAGAAAGGATGATTTGTCGAGCCCTGAAAATGCATACTTTGGAAGATAATTCTTGTGATTCAGCTAACAGTGAGGTGAATGATTCTATCATGAAATTAACACTTGATTATCATTAATTACAATATTTTGATAATATTTTTATGTTGAAGCACTGTGCTAAACAATAAACATTCCAAGAATTCAAGCAATGATTCACACATTTACTTATATTACAAATTCACACATTACCAATCTTCGTGCAATATTTTAGGAAAGAGAGGGCCATGAAAATTCTAATGAATGAAGTGCATCCTGCCTATTGTGCAAAAAACCCTCCTGCATCATTAGGTGAGGCATACAAAAGTGCTCCCAAGCTGAAGGGTCAACTACATTAATGATAATTTCTTTAAGGTATTCTGTTCATCCCTGTACACTGCCGCAAAGTCAAAGTTCCTCATGACAACACTCACAAGTAAAGGCAGCCCTGACCCTGAGCCGGAGCTCTGTTCTATAAGATCCTGCAGAGTTCCTCCAGGCCCAAGGTATGGGTCGCAAGTGCGGCTCTGCAGTAAGCACTGCCTGCGTTGGTCCTCTTTCTTCTTGTATCTGAAACCACCCAACACAGCATTTACAATAAGCATTCATTATATGCAATCAACTTATTACATAAATAGACTAAATTATAGTCAATTTTTTTTTATTTTTGTATTGCAATTTTTAAAGAACATACAATGTTTCTTCTTACAAAGCAATGTAATAGAGTCAAAATTTAAATTCTGAGAACATTTCAGAAACTCCAAAACTGGGCTGTATTTAACTGATGTGTTTAGTATTGCAAATTGCTTAGATTGTGTAGTATCATCAACTTACCGTAGGTAAACAAACGTTACAATGATGAGAAACAGCAATAGGCAGATGGTGACGGAGACAATAAGTACAATGTAGGGGACCGTGTCGTCATATTGTGTGACAGGCCTCGGAGTTGAGGGCAGTATGGGCATGAGGTTTCTGTTGCAAAGGTCGATGTCATTGCAGCACTGGATAGACTTGCTCTCCTTGTGGGGCACCAGGTGACCTTTGCACTGCAACAGACACACACATCATTCGTGGCTGAAGTAGATGTTAGGGAGGCAAAGTAACGAAGTAAAAGCTAAGGTGTTATTTTTGAACAGTTAATAGTTCAAAACCATTATGAGCAGAAACATTTATTTCATTGCCCTGATATTGACTGTTATTGATTTGAATTCATTCAACTGGCACCTAATGGGCACAAACAAAACCATAAGCATTCAGTGATTTATTGTTTTGAACTACAAGAGTTTCAGTGCAGCATATCTCGACTCACCAGTGTTACACACGGCTGCCAATTCCAGAGTTCTAATGTTTGGTGGTGGTTCAGTAGAGGAATGCAAGGGGGTAAATATGATAAAACATTTCAAAGAACTGTTTACACTGTATAGAATCAATTACAAAGATCATTTCTAAATTTACTCTAACCAAGCCCCGATGTCTCTGATTCATTGACAAGAAAGTGCTGGACACAAGTGGTACAAACTAGCAAAGCTTTTATGAAGCTTTAACAGTTATCAGCGCCAAAATGTCCATTGATTCTTTTAATTCTCAGCTATCAGCTGCAGTGATCTTAAACTGTGGGACATAGATATGTTATTTTCAATCTGTTAGCTGGTATTCTGACAACTATTTCTAGCTGGACCCATTTAAACATTTCACACTTTGTACATCTTTGTTTTAAAAGTAAAAATAGTTACACATTGGAACCCTTCTTTCAGTGTATCTGGCAATCCGTGCTACCAAATGACAGAACTCAAAAAGTTAACAGAATGTTAAGAAAGGTGTTGTTAAGGTGTTTAGCCTGTACCATTTGTGCCTAATAATCCAAATATGCCATCCGTGAACTCCTCTGTTTTCTGTCTTTTTGATGAATCCCTGAGGAGTAATTCCCTATCCAGCATTAATCATCATTGCACTTGCAGATATAGCCATGTGAAGTGAATTTTGGAAGGGAAAATGAAGGAAGGAACCTAAATGAACATGCCCATTTCCAAAATTTCAATGAAACACACTTTTATGATAAAGTAATTTTCCCTTACTACATTCACTTCACATGGTCAATTTTGCAGGTGCAACGATGTAATACAATTATGGGGTTGTGCGTTTTTGGTTTCTACCAATAGAGATAAATCTGTCATCTTATCTAAACTTATTATATGTAGACACAAATGAATAGCACTTTAAATTATCTCTACAGTAAAGAATCCTTGATGCAAGAAACAGAAGACCATCAGAGCAGCAGAAGAAGCAGCAGCCAGAAGCCTAGAGATCCCGGGGGAAAAAGTCTAGAGGTCCAGCGAACCAACACGTCTAGAGGTCCAGCGAACCAACACTTCTAGAGGTCCAGCGAACCAACACGTCTGCAGGCCCAGAGAACCAACACGCCTGCAGGCCCAGAGAACCAACATGCCTGCTGGACCACAGAACCAAAAAGTCCTCCGGCGCAGATGAAGTCTGGAGGACCAGAAGATCAAGAAGTCTATAGGTCCACAGGTTACGTCCAAGAGGTCTAGAGGATCAGGAAGGCCAAAGGTCCAGAGGACTGGAGAAGCAGAAGGCGGGAGGGCCAAAGGCACGCCGAAGGCCCGTGAACCAGAGCACTAGAGGCGAGGCGCAGCCACCTACTTGCATGAAGCCCTGCTCGTCGGGTGGCAGGCAGCCGAAGGTGCGCACCAGCTCGTAGCCCCGAGTGTCCGGGTTGGGGACCTGCTCGACGGCGCTGAAGCACTGGCTGCCCGGCTGGCCCAAACACGTGCCGTTCACTTCGCTGTTGGGGCAGTGGCCTTCGCAGTAGCACACCACGCCGCCCCCCGCACCCGTCCCCGCACCAGCACCTGCGGGAGAGAACAACTCAAATAAAAAAGGAGTGAAAATAACTTGGTACAGCTTTTCCTATCGCACTTCCTCCAACGCTCTTACGCATTTCGTCAATCTAACATCAACTGGCAGCAAGTGGCAACGATCACGAATGATGAAACTAAGTCAGGTAGAAAAACCATTGAAGGACACAAAAAGTCACTCGACTGTGATTCTGCTTCTCGCAACTTTGAACTTTTCTAGCACAGATCACCAAAATCGCGATCGTACGTCATAGTCAATTTACCAGGGTGGCTCCTTATTTCCTATAGCAAATTTCCCTGTTCTTGTTTTCAGGGCATTTATTTTTATTCACTGATATGATTTGTAGAGTTTTCAACATCCTTTTTTATATGAAAGGAAGTCTGATACTAATTTGTCAGCTTTCTGATTTTACTACTATAAAGTACGTACAAAAATATACTCAACAAATAAAAAGAGTCACTATTGTTTACTGAAGGATTTTTTAAGAAATAACATGAGTCTCAAATTTGCCCTGATTCTGTCATGCGACGTTAATTGATTATACATATTTCTGATTATAGCTAATCCAGAGAATGAAGATTCATGTTTCCGACGATTTTGCCAAGTTTTCCGCAGGAAGTGGACATGCTGATTTAGTTCAAGTCCTGATCAAATTTACCATTGTTCTACATTTTTACGTTTTAAACAAATCAAAATCAGATAACGCGCAATGCTTCTTTGCTTGAACGCTTTGCGCAAAAAATGGAAAAACATTTCTTTGGTGAATAATGTTTTTTTGTCATTAATTTTCTGCGAAGATCATAGGAATATGTATCTTAATGAGTTCATGTGGGAAAAAAACTGAGGGTGATAAGACAGGAACAATCCTTTTTTTATTTATACGTGGCACATTCAAAAATTTAAAAGAAAAAGATGGCACTAGATGTTCTTTATTGTTCTCTTTTCTTTCAATGAAAAACACATTCATGTGCGTTCCAACAAATTATTTCCAAATGGAGCCTTTTATTAAATGGGGTCTAACTGACAGTGCTACTTGTAACACAGCTAATTGCGTAGTGACATGAGGGTCGACATTGGTTTCCATTACAGTGCCAGTAGTTGGGACATTTTGTTTGTTTTCCGATTCTTGATTTAAATTTAAAGAGAAGCATAGTGATCAGTGACATTTAAATGATAGGTAAGGGGTTCCAATAAACAGCTACCGCTTCTTTCATATTCAGATGTTTAATGATCCTGCTTATTTCCGCTATCTGATTGGTGCTCTGATAAATACATATTCCATTCTTACAATAACTCAGAAAGCTTGTAATTTCGAAGGCAATTTTGATGTAGCTCAGTGGAGGCAGGGTTGTTGACAATTGGGAGATTTATCATCCATTAACACCATTGTGTTAGTATGTCTTCGACTCACGGTTACAGAAAACAAAACTCTATAATTATACAGAATACTGATCTACAGACAACGAACTTCAAAAATCACTTCCCAGATAGTGCTTATCACTGATAAAGAATTAGCTTGAGAACAACACATCACAGTAAATAGACACTAAACAGGAATGTTATCACAATTATATGAAAAGGAAGGAGACTATCTACGAATGTGTTTTAATTCTGTTTTATTTACATCAGTACGGGAACATTCATACTTCGCGTTTTTATTAACACAGTCCATTATAATTGTTCCAGAACTTTTTGATGAAATATATAAAATAATAAACAGGTGGAAAAATGTATCACCAGAGTAAAAATTGCCAATAAATAAAAAATTTCTGAAGTTCGAATTGCAACATTCGACGGCGTCAAATGGAAGTAGATTTAGATTTATTCAGTCAAAAAAACAACAACAACAACAACAATAAAGCTGCATGTGACGTAGGGGCAAAAAGATTATCTGCGCACGTTTTCTTGAGTTCCAAAATCCCTTCCCGTCATTTTAACTATAAATAGTTGAAAGAGAAGTAAACGTTTAACATAAATAAAAATAAATTTTAAAAATAGCAAGATTAGCAATATTTAAAAAATAGTCATTTTTGTATCAGAGTATATACTCTTACAATAGAGTGGGCGACCTGTGACACCTGCTATAACAATGCCACATATAGCGATCTAATACTCAATTTAGCGATCGAGCGATGTAAGGCTTCATAATTTGGAGGCGCAATTTGGAGAGTTACTCAGCAAATCTGCGTCAGAGGTTAACCGGGTTTACTTCCCTTCCAAAGGAAGGAGCGATTTCCTTATGAAAGATTGGTCCTTACCAAACGCACGGAACTGAACTGTCGAACGTGGGTATAAACAGTCCCATGGGCAAGCCATCACACCAACGTGAAGTGCTTGGTGGTAACTCAAGAAGCTGATTGGTCGCCAAGCCCTTACTGTTCCCGTTCCCAAATTCTCGGCATTTAAATTCAAAATGCTGCCGCCAGGGCTGTCGTGCTCCGTCTTCATGAATGCTTTGTAGAGTCAAACCCGTAAATAAACCCAAAACATTTCATTCGATCCAGTTTTACACACAAGAGTATTGTCCCAAAATTCCATATTTACAGTTGGAAGAACAGACATAACTTAGAGGAAACTTTTCAGGATAAATTAGAGATAGCTTCTACAGTTGAGGTACCTACGGTGAATTATGTTGTCGGACAAGGAGGAATCTGAACTCAAGAATGGGTATCTGAGGGCCTAGAGGCAGAACATTAGATACAGACAAATTGCATCTGTTGGGGAAGCTTGTAGGATTTGGTCTTACACGTAGCATCGGTGACGCTAAACCGGGCATTCATGTGTCAGCAATGGTATTTGACACTTCGTGGCCTCACAATGACAAGGTTCTGTCCGATGTCGAAGGAATTTTACAAGAGATGATTTTGCATATTAGGACGTGTCTAATACTGTGCAATTGTACATAAAAACGCAAATGAACTACACCTTTTATGCAAATTATATTTTTTAAACTCGGAAGATGAAACTATTGTAATGTAGATCAGACAGAGATTGAACATATCGAAACATAAATTTTGCCAAAAATTTTAGATTGCTATTCTGAGCCCGCGATTTCACGGTTCATGGGAAAACACAAGTTAATGCGTCTGTTTATACGAACTGAGTTGCATTAGCCTTAATGTTCGAGTGAATTATCTTTGCCTTTTGTCTGTTTTGAATCCACTTGAAAAAGAGTTACTCCCTTCAATTACATAAAAGCCAGTAATTTAATGTTATATCAGGATCTACTCTCAAACGCCTCCAAATACGAACTTGTAAACAGTCTCTCTCAGGTCCAAAACTTAGGAATTTAATAACGTAAAAAAAAAACGAATAAAACAACACGGATGATTACACAGTGGACTAATATAGAGAAAAATAGACCGCAACCCATCAGGCACGAGGCAGCTAGGGCTCTGCCTTAGCGACCTGTGCTACCCGGGCCGCCAACACAGCTTTTTTTAGTTTGCTCCGAGGAACATAATCATGAAACCAAGATTCATCAGTGGCGATTATTTTCAAGGATACTTCAGACCAATTCAGGTCGGGTCTTCTTTTACGTGACAAGGCTCGGGCTACCAGACCTACTCTCCCGTGTGAGCAAACAGATTTTGCTGCGGCTCCTTCGCCATCTAGCTGAGAGAGAAGGTATCACTCGGGAGGCGAAGCCGGCGATTTGAATTTAGCCCTTTCAAGTTTCAGGATCTTTTACATGTAGAGTATCTACAACAAGGGACAGTCGGCTTCATTTCCCACCGGAAGGAAGGCGTACGAAGGATTTTTTTTTCTTTTTCGCCCCAAACAATTCACGCCTTCGAACGGTTTTGAACCCGCAAACTTTGTACAACCCGGCTACTCTAACAGTTATGCCGCTGAAGCCGCCAAATAATTCATCCTCCTACTGCCTCATACCTCCATCCGCACCTACAACTGCGAACAAACATACAGTTTGTTTTTTCCAATGTGTGGGTGGAACGGATTATTTTCTGATATTATTGTTGCTTATTTATTTTTTCACAATCACAGATAACTGTGACTTTTGATGCATGAACAGGAGCAGGTTCTTGAGCATTACACATACCCTAGCGCCTACCCTGGTTAACATATCACTAAATTGCAATATACAATTTCAATCAACTTGACACCACATTATGAATTTTTATTGCTATTATGCTCTATTTTCTTTAGGGCAGTAACAGAATCTGAGTATAGCTCTTATCCTGCATCGTTGCTTTATTAGAAACGGAGATACATAAAATTATTTCATACACAATATAATGTTTTTTTTTATTAGCCAACTGCACATCCCATTACGGGCACGGGCCTCCTGCTCGCGCAGGGAATTATTAATCCTGATTTAATGAAATGATAGGATGATGAAGGGGGAAGGGACGATCACAAATGCATCCGTGCCAGAGGTGGGATTCAAACCCGCGATCCTTCGGTCCGAGATCGCCACGTCACTACTGCCTCGGCTATCCGGATCGATAATATAATTATACAAGGACGAAAGATACAGTTTCTCGGTTTCAGGGACTTGGATACTCCCTTATTTTCTGATAGTCCTCTTAAATCCATTCGCCGATCTCCTTCGCTATGACAGCGACAGTGTTAACGTTCACTTCCGTATTTATGCATTGACTACAGCGCCGGGTCCACCCTGCTTTGAAAGTGGCTGCTTCCTCTCATTACAATCTTCTACACGTGCCGTGGGGAAAAACAGGCTCTCCATATGCCTTCTGAAGCACCAAATAAGCCTAGCCTGAGGATTCTTTTTTAAGACAAAGGCAACATTTCAATGCAGCATATTGCTCGTCGCGCGCTATCTCCATCATTGCAGTAAGTGAAAATGAATATGTCTCAGTACGCAGTACAAAAGGCAAATCAATTTAACTTGTGCCAGCATGCATTTAATATTAAGTTAGCAAAGCAACAAAAAGTTGTGTTTTGGGTATGTTGAATTATGAATTACGCGAATTTAAAATGATATCTTTAGTTAATAACACTCGTACAA